GTGTCGGCCATACACACCAGCTCCGAGTACTGTGCCAGCAAGTGTCGTGTGCATTTCACAGCCACAGAATTCATCTGCAATAGGCTGCAGAAGAGAGCGTCAGGGATCCACAACAGCGTCGTGTCTTCAAGACAAACATGGCGTGTACCGACGTAATGCGAGCCCACAAAGCACGTCGCGATCCCCACTTCACAGCCTTTTGTAGCCTTGTACAGCTCTGCATACTTCTGCGGCGTTAGAGCGACCTGAACACTAACCGCTCCGGACAGTATAACATGTACACCCAACGCACTCGTACTGTCGCCAGCTTCACGGATCGTCTGCTTCTTAGTGCGTTTAATAATCTTCGCGCAACTAGCGAATGTCGAACGTAACTCTGCGTCATATAACCCAATAGAATCTGCCACATTGTCCACGATCTCGTTGACCGACGCGTTCTCCGTCTCTTGTGTCAATAGTGGAGCCACGTTGATGATCTCGGATGATAACCCGAAGTGATCGATCAGAGACTTGGACGTGATCTTCTCCACTTGGATTAAAGCTGCTTGGGACAGTCGGTAGAGCGCTTCGGGGTATTTTTCCAGCACCTTTTTGATCGCTAACGTCGGGATTTTAAACAGCCGCGTACCGTCCTCTTGTGCGCGTGCAGATAAATTCCCGCATACTTTCTTCACGAGGTCGCTGCATTCTCCGTCGTGTAGCTCGTTTACTAGGACGGTAAGTAAAGGTAAAGATGACGTGAGGGTGTCACCACGTCCTAATAACTTGGAGAAACTCTGCTCTTCGTTGTCTCCGTGGATTGTAAGGGACGCTGACCCATTGACGATCATGAGGATGGAGCCATCGAGTTGCCCCTTCTCGAAGATCGTCTCGCCTTTGGAGAAGCGTAAGATACGCAGATCTCGAGCTAGAGGCTCGACAAATTCGCCGCGTAGGAAGGAGAAGACTTTGGATAGTGTATCGTAGATGAACTTGAGGTTCTCTGGCCCGCAGTTCTGACGTAATTCTCTAGGGAACGTGATATGGTCTTCTAGTTCTAGTTGGCGGTTATCCTGCATACGCTCACGTTCAGCTTGTAGCAGGTCGGAGAAGGACTTGGAATGTCTCGAGCTGTGACGCAGACGCTTTGATGTAGGCGACGGAGGCTTCTCGGCCTTGGGCTGCGTCTTACGCGGTCGCACTTGGCGAGACGCAACCCACATGAACAACACGCCTAGCAACAGCGCGACAGCTACAAGTGTGGCCACACCACCCACTGCGTACGGATTTTGCTCTTCGACATGGCCGCGTACATCAGCTGCTAGACGCGACGTCTTGTGCGCCGCCTTGGCACCGACGCGCGTGAAGATGGCGAGTCGTAAGCGTAGCCACGTCCACAAGTCGGACGTGGCGAGGCCTGCGAGCCGTGTGAGCTCCAGTGACATGCTGGGTAAACTCAGAGTGTCCATGGACAGACGTGAGATCTCAGCCGACGAGATGAGTCTCTTTTTTCTTCTAGCACTCTGCCACTTGCGCTTCAGCCAGCAAATTCTCGACTGAGCACTTTTAACGCCGCTCGGGGATAAAAGTCGTGTCTCAGCGAGAGCGTCAAGACGTCGTGTGTCGTAGCAACTTGATAAATGAAGTGGGTGGTAAAGCTTGGTTGTACCTGGTCGGGTGGACTGTATTACTTCAAAACAAGTGCATTTGTCAATAGCACGTGTTGCTGTGCCCGGCTGAGTGAAATGTGACGAGGCTAATGTGACCGGTTGAGCCCAGCTGAGCGCGGCTAGACGAGAGTCAGTGCCGCGTCATCACTTGATGAGTGGCTGGATTTATACGTATAGCCGGCTTCCTTTTGCCCAAGAAAAAACCTCAACTGATACTTTAAGAAAAAATCACGTGTGGTGTCTTGCATTGGCACTGATACACTTAGCAAAAAAAGTGTCTAAGTATGGTGTTTAAATTGGTGAGTCGTACTGTGATAGTGTTTAAATTGGTAAGGTGTAGTGTAATGTAAAAAGTTATGTATTTATATGCACATACACAGATACCTGTATCGGAGACATTGGAGCATCTTCTTGTCAACGGCTCCCACTGCATTTGCTCCGCACAACATTTCAAATACAAGTAGGACGTACACGCCACACTTGTAGCTATCCGTTTGTGTGCCGAGGCTAGATTCGTATAAACGGGTGCGGTAACGCTTCACACCAGCACCCGGAAGCAAACTTACCAGAGACCCGGCAACAGCCCGGATACTTACCATGTAACTTGAATGCATCGGGTCGTACAATATTATCTCATCGGTAGCAGAGTTGACGATGATTGCACACCAGTGGTTCCCGCTACAGTTCATCGGGATAAGAATGCGTTGACTGAATACTTCATTCAATACAACACGTAGCGCATTTCGATCCGTTCTGATTCTGTCATTTCTGGTGATGCTCACAGTAGTTGGGTTGATCATCACTACCATATTGACCGTCCCAAATAATTTTTGCATGGCAGTCCACATAGTTGTGAATTGGAGGGATCCCTTAGCAGCAAAATCGAACACATATATCTAGACAGTCAAAAATACGCAATAATGTTAACCTAAATAATTTGTGGAGGATAAGTTTAAAATAAAAAAAGATACGTACCTGCTCGGACAGAAGCGGCATTGATTTCAACTTGGCAGGCAAATTAAGATCGGTTTCAACGTGAAATGACGTATTACGAAGTAGTGACACGTCCACCGAGAAGATCCAATGCAGCACGCGTTCAACAGTCTGAACGGCAGTCAGTGCCCGATGCCACTGTTCCATTATTGAGAGCGTGCAGGGCACAAAAAATGCCTACACCCACCAGCCCAATTGCAATGTCCTGCTCAGCCAGCCCGCGCCGAGTCCGTTGATATGCCGTCACCTTAGCATCGCATTTTCGTAACAGGTCCCATGCAAACACCCGCGTAAACTCACAGGCATTTGTGATTGGTTTTCCTGGTGGTAGCTGTGACGCATGGTGTGCAATTGGCGGTTTTGGTCGTCTGTCAAACACGAATTAGTTAAACTGGTTGAGTAATTGACCTGCTGACTCGTATGTAGCCTCTCCAGAAAGCGCCTCTTTAATCGAGTTGAGAGACAGCCGTTTTTCATGCATGTCCGAATCACCTCGGGCCATCACGATTGCGATACTTTTCTTGGCCTTTTTTATTGCTTTTGGTTTCTGTTTTGGTCGTCCACGAGGCCTCACCGGACTTGCGATATCAAAGTCGGTGGTGGGATCCACAGAAAGTAGCTGAATTTCACAGTCGTGCGACATAATCTCTCTTCGAGACTTTAATGTATCCAACTGGTTGCTCGGGGTACCCGACTGCGCAGGAGCCGCACCCGACTCGCCACTCAGTATAACCGACTGGTCCATAATCGTACCCGACTGGTCATTCAGTGTACCCGACTGGTTACCCGACCTCATTTTGTAGCGCACAATGTTGCACAAACTGACCTTTACCAAAGACATCATGCGCCATAAACGAGAGGACCTTATACTTGGACACATTGGTCCCGTGTGTTGCATCCATGAGCAGAACCTCCGGAAAACGGCCGAGCAACTCGCGCATTGACTTGGTTTGGAACGTGATATACATAGCCATTTTCTGTAGACCCTCAAGAAATCATTTTGCTATGTTTATCAACAAAATATCTCCATGTAGCGTAACTTACCTTCCCAACCGTTGGGTCGATAAAGATTCTGCCAACATTCCCAGGTTTCTCGCAGAACTCCACCATCCATTTCTTTTATCTTTGTGAGCTGGTGCTGGAAGATTGTTCTCTTGCCTTAAGGCGCTGGACGATGTTGTGTACATCGCGAATAGAGGGGTTGCATTTAGAATGCTCCTGGATAAACTTCAGGATATTCTTTTTCTTGGCACCCGTTTTCCAACACCTCACCCTCAATGGCGGTTTGATTCGATGCATACTGCTCGTACGTCCGCCGATTAAGGTTATGGGAATGCTCCAAGTTACTTTTCGTGATGAAGAGTGCAAAAGCCCTCTTATTTTTATCTGCGATACGAACGCAGACGTTAACCTATTAATACGCACAAAATAACGCACACCACGAATTAATCAATAGGCTAACAATGTGGTCATTAATACCCAAGTGAATCAGTACCCGACTGGACCCAACTGGTGCCCAACTGGAAAAATACGTACCGAAGCCTCGCAGCCCATGGGCCTTGTTTCCTGGCGTGGTCGCTTTCCTTGCCCTCGCGACATGTATGCGCCAGTATGCGTACAGATTAGCTTCTGAGAATAGCTCCCCCACTCCGGCAGAATCAGCGATGCACTCGAGTTTGTTGATTGGATCTTCTTGTTCCGGTCCAAAACTGTATTGTTGGTTCGAATGCGAAAAAGCTAAATGAATGAAGCGTAAATATCTGTCCACCTTCAAATGAGCTGTCTTATAGCGAAAAATACATACCTGGTAGCTGTTCCTTTGATACTCCTTGAAATAGGCGTCGATCTGTTCCCACGACTCAAAGCACGTGTGCGTGAGAGGTGGCCCCAGCACAGTTCGGCCAGACCCGTTACTGAAGCTGCTTGACTGCCCAGCCGGCATCTGATTGGTGCTATCACCAATTGAAACGTCCCTGTGCTCATGAGAGTCTCTCACATCGCGAGGGTCAACGTCGCTCTGATCACTCTGGTCGCTTTGGTTATACGAGGCACTCGGCTCGCACCGCTTTCTCCCTACCTGGAGCCGGGGGTCCATTCGCCACGATAGACGTCTCACGCTTGGCACGCGTCGAGCTATAAACGAATGGTTTTAAATGGATAAAAAATATACGTGTATACGTTGCTCGAATGAAGCATAGGGCTAGGTGGCATTTCATCGATGAATAGGGAGATGGGCCAGCCGGGCACGATAGTCACTCTCTTTGTCAATTTTCTTGCAAAAAGGTAACCTCTTTTGAAAAACATATCACAGAAGGACCTCCCGCTTTTTAGCGACTTATTGACTCATTTTTTCGGCCAGCCACTCAAACTCCATGGACGGAAAGGCTGCACAGCTTGTGGCGCGCTACGACCGCCTGATCGCGGCGTTGGGCGAGGACGCGTTCAAACCTTCTAGCGGAGTGTGTGCGCGAGTGGAGGACGCTTCTGCTGCTGTTGCGGAGGTTGAGAACGACGAACAGAGACAGAAATTGCTCAACGTGGCCACAGACAAATCTATGCGCTGTGCCGATCTCATTGCCAGGAGTCTAGAGGCGTCTGCAACGCTTGCTAAATTGCAAAAGACACTGAAGAATACGTACGATAACAGCCAGAATGGACACAATGACGAAGACGAAGATATGGAGAGCGAGGAGGACGAACAGTACGACACGTCCACCACTTTGTTGCTGCAGGACCTCGTGGCGGCTGGCGACGAGGCCGAAGACGCCGCCAAGAAGTATGCACGACTGGGCGTCGTACGAAAGACCGCGCGTGCGAGCCACGAGCTGCTAGCGTCGGCTGAGCACGATCTACACGAGCACTTGGCTAGTGAGTCCACGACGCCTGGAGATGCCGTCATGCAGAACGAATTCCAGCAGCTGTACATGGACGAGTTCACCACTGCGTTTGGCGACGAGCTGGACCAGTTCCGTCAGGAGGAACGCTTCGAGAGCAAGGATGTGACCTATTTAATCTCCTGCATCCACGCAGGCGGCGACATCTTCACACCACTGCAGAAAAAACTCTTCGTTGAAGCAAGTCGAACAACAGAGTAGGGAACGGAGCAGTACAAAGCGATAGAGCGTTAAAATGCATGTGTTTGTGTTCCCCCCTTTTTAACTACAAAGTGCTTGTTGTACTGTAGTAATTTGCTTTTGAACAGTAGAGCAAACAGCTTAGACACGCAGGTTGATCTTGCGTTTGGTCGCTCTCGGCATCTTCCTGGTGCTTTTCCGTCCCGCTGTTACATGAGACTTGACGGTGGGGTAGTACGAGTCCATGGGGCGTTCACGCAGCTCACGCTTTTGACGACGGGTGCGTCCGGCATTCGCTTGGCCAAAGAAGTCTGCAATCCACTCGACCATGCCCTCTCTACCGCCCTTCAGCAGTTCGATACCCTTACTAAAGAGAGGATCCACAGCCATCGGTGGACCATTCGTGCTGTTATTGGGAGGCGACATCTTCACCGACACCTGTTCATTCTCCGACTCACTCTCCTCATCAGTGGACGCTACACGTCGATAGAAGTAGCACTGGTGTCCTTCACTTGAACCTGCCATGGACGTCGCCACTCGTCCGATATTCTCTACAGAAAACCCGTACATGTCCACAACTTTACGTGGTACATGGAAACTGGCAAAGTACTTGGCTGAACTGCGGTTGAACATATCGGCCATCTTGTCCATGACGTCAGGCGGGAATCCCACATCGAAACTATACACGTGGGAGAAGGGTTCGAACGAGTGCGCGTGTGTGATATCTCCCGCTGTGAATACCGTCGCTAGAGGTTTCTTGCGTTGCGAGTCCAGTGACAAGACGCTGCGTAGGTTGTGCAGTGACAGATGCCAACGAAGTTCCTCAAGTTCAATGCCGTACGAGACCTGTACGCCAGGGTCCACAGCTACGTGGAAATTGGGCTTGCCCAGTCCTGATCCCACATCGATGAAGCGGCTGCTCTTGGAGAGTTCGCACTTCTCTTTCATATAGTCAACTACTCTTTGGAACGACGCTTGAGTGATCTCTCCGTAGATGGCTCCACCGGCTGCGTTGCCACCAAGACTCCCCGTCTGCTTACGGATTGCCTTGTATACTTCAGATACCTCATGCTCCGTGAAGGTTCGCTGGACTTCTCGCTCACGGACGTCGGCCAATGGCGTCACTTTGCCGGGCGTGCCAATAGACAGCCGCGTCCTCTTCTTGTTGGAGGCGGGTGTCGTAGCATTGCTGCTTGGCTGTGTGCTGGGACTCTTACGCTTACGGCCAACGGTGGAGCTTCCCGGGGTCTTAGGGGGCTTGTCACCCGCAGCTGATGGCGACGACATCGGACGCTTCTTGAGGGCGTCGCCGCGAGTGGGGGACAGGAAAGGGCCCCCGGATGGCTGCGGCGACATGACCGCCATCGAAGCTGTTGAATAAGACCCTAGGGCTCAATGGACCAGTTTAAAATTCAAAGCGCACCTAAACCCGTGGGTAGACACAAAAAAAACATTTGTAACCCGTGGGTTTTTCGACAGCTGGTGTCTTGCACACATTTCATGTGGCGCACATAGTCGTAATCAGTGCATCATCGCAACTTCGACACCCGTTGCATCTCTCAAGTAGCTCTTCGTTCTCCTTCTTCTCTACGACCAATGAACCTCTCTACCTCTCGTGCAATTATCCTCCACCCATTGGTCGCCCCCGTGGGTGGTGCCCTGTCGCCCAATCTCGCGCCGTGGCCGAGTGGCTACGCTCGTTGAGCCCTTGTGACGTCCCCAACGTAGACAAACGTCCGTTGAGCCTCTTGGACTTCACTTGCGATGAGAATGTCCACGTCGTGTTGAGCTTCCTAGACGGTCCGTCGCTTTGCTCAGCACGCAGTGTGTGCCGCTCTTGGCGCCACCTGAGCAACGACGAC